CTCTTTCTCTCTCTCTCTCAAAATAAATAAATAAACTTTAAAAAAATTGCTAGTGTCATTCTAAGTAAAGAAAAATTTTTAAAAATTTAAAAGTAAAAAAATTAAAAATAAAATTGGTTTGTAACTCATCCATACATAAAAATCATTTCCACTTATATTAATAAATGTCAAAAGCAAAACCTTATAATTTTATTTTTTTAAGTAATATCTGCACCCAACATGGGGATCAAACCCACGAGCCTGAGATCAAGAGTCACAAGTTCCACTGACTGAGCCAACCAGTGCCCCTCAAGAGCAAAATTTTTAAATGTTTTAGAAGACAATACTGTTGAAAATCTTTCTGACCTTGAGGATAAAGAAAGATTGGTTAAGAAACAAAACATGCTACTTTTTTAAAAAGATTAAAAAATTTGACAATATTAAATTTAGAACTATGTTCATCAAAACCTTAAAATGAAAGGATGAGAAGATATTTGTAATGCCTAAAACTGACAAAGCACTACATCCATGATATATAAAGAATTCTTACAAATCAATAAAAAAGGAACCAACAGCCCAATTTAAAAAATAGGCAAAAATAAATAAATAGATAATTAATTAATTAAAGCATTTCATGGAGGAAGGAAAACATTTGGTCCATACAGTGGATTGTTAAATATCAGGGAAATACAAATTAAAATCACAATTATATACCACTGTACACCTATTAGAATGTTAAATAGACCAGCCAATCCAAGTGTTGGCAAAGATGTGGAAAAACTCAAACTCTCATAAACTGCTGATGGGAATATAAAAGGGTTCCACTACTTTGGAAAATAGTTTGGCTTTTGCCTAAAAACTTAATCAAATGACCTAGCTATTCTAGTCCTAGGTATTTGCCCAAGAGAAATGGAAGCATGTCCATACAAAGACTTGTATACAATGTTCATAGCTGCCTTATTTGTAATAGCCAAAAACTGGAGACAATCCAAATATCCATGACTAGACGAATGGATAAACAAACTGTGGTGTATCCACAGAATAGAATACTCGGCAAAAGAAGGAATGAATTCTGGATACTGGCAACAACCTGAATGAGTTTCAAACTAAGTACACTGGGTGAAGAAAGCTGGATTTTAAAAGTATACCACCTGTATGCTTCCACTTATATAAAATTCTGAAAAATGAAAACTAAACTATATAACCTAGAAACAGAAAGTAAATCAGTAGTTAACTGAGTAAGGGGAAAGAGGTGCAGGGCAGAAAAGAGGTGTTACAAAGGGTCACAAAGAAACTTTTGGTGGTGATGGATATGCTTATTATCTTGATTGTGGTAATGATGTCATCAAAACATCAAATTATACACTTGAAATATGAGCGGTTTGCTGGGTGTCGAGGAAAAAAGCTTGCCATAGCTTGACTCTAAGAGAACAGAATAATGTCTTTTAGAGAGAAAAATGCTTCTTTTTATTCAAATACCTCAATGGGCCTTTTTGGCTGGGAAAGTTGAAATACCTTGGGCTGGCATGGGGGTGGGTTGAGACTATAGAAGAGTCCTTAGCTCTATAAAAGAGAAATTTTTCACTTTAGGGAAAGAGTCCAGAATTCAGAGAAGAGAAGGATATGAGAAAGAAGCCTCCAGAGAAGTTGGAAAGAGTCCCTAATACCTACTGCTAGCAGAGACTATGGAGAACGATGGCCAATGAGAAATTCCCTGGGGTGGAGACAGTCATAGAACTTTGATACCTAATATTCACATGTAAATGGTTTCCTATTCTATGAAGTATTTCCCCTTCACCAACCCCAAACCTTTAGCTCAGTCTGTTCCAGACACTGGCCTTGAGTTCATGGTGTTAGGGGAATCCAAGAGGAAGGGACAATTCTGCACATCGGAAACAGAGAGAGAGAGGCAGCAGGAATTGTGACATCAGCTAAGATGAGTGGGAGCACACTGGAGGCAGCAATAAGAGGAGTATCTGGAAGGTAGAAGCATTCCACTCAAGAATGTTGAACTATTGAGGCACCTGTGTGGCTCGGTCACTTGAGAGTCCGACTTTGGCTCGGGTCATGATCTCGCAGTCTGTGAGTTCAAGCCCCACATCTGGCTCTGTACTGACAGCTCGGAGCCTGGAGCCTGCTTCAGATACTATGTCTCCCTCTCTCTCTGCTCCTCCCCACTCATGCTCTGTCTCTCTCTCATGCTCTCTCAAAAATAAATAAACATTAAGAGAGAAAGAGGAAAAAAAAACTTAAAAAAAAAGAACGTTGAAATATTAGGGCAGGGGACAGGACTTTCTGCAGCATGTGGGATAAGGGAAATGAACCATTTTCTTTGAGTATTAAAGGAAAGAATGACCCTAGACTACTGACTTTGTGAAAGACCACTCTAGACCATGCTAGCCATCACAGAAGTGACTCAGTAGGAACGGGGTCACAGACAGACAATGACCTGAATGGCACCCCCTGGAATTGTGCCTTGTGCTGTTAGTGCATCCTTTAGGTGCACTAGCACTTTAGGTCAATAGCTCAAACCATTCTGAGTCCCTAAATTATCAATAACCTACCTTACTCCCTGTCTCTCTTTCTTTCTTATATGTATGTACAAAAAAAGGGGAAGATTTTTAGTTTCATTTTCTTCACAGCATCATTCTTCCATTGGCTGGACCAGAAAGGAACTCAACTCCTCTTCTTTAATTTCCCCTTAGTTCACCCCAAATAGAAGCCACCAGACCCTTGTATTATCCCTGACTTGACCCAAGTCCCATCCTTCCTCCAATAAAATATGGTTCACGAGGAGTTTCAACTGTGAACTAACAAGAGAAGGAATATATCAAGACAGTGTAGGTGGAAGGAAGGGGTTGTGAGAAATGCATTTCTCCCAGTTGCCATTCACTACCCCTCTGCATGGCTGGGCAGCAGGCTTGGAAGGACCTTTAGGTTGATGTTCATGTTGATCACACCAATAAGACAAGCCCCGTAACAATAGGAAGAAGCATAACACAAGTACCTCACGCGTGTGCGAGTGGCTCACAGCTTATCCCCATGTCTACATACTTACCTTGTGTACTTCCCATAACCTTGTTAGGCTGTTATATTATCTTCTATTCTTTTTTTTTAATATTTATTTATTTTTGAGAGAGAGACAGAGAGACAGAGTATAAGCAGGAGAGGGGTAGAGAGGGAGGGAGACACAGAATCTGAAGCAGGCTCCAGGCTCTGAGCTGTCAGCCCAGAGCCCAATGCGGGGCTCGAACCAACAAACTGTGAGATCATGACCTGAGCCAAAGTCAGAAGCTTAGCTGACTGAGCCACCCATGTGCCCCTATCTTCCATTCTTACAAAAGGAAAATGAAACTTAGAAAGGTTAAATAGCGTGCCCAATTCTTCTGAGTCCAAACCACAATGCCTTTCTGCCATCTGAGATGCTATCCCAAACAAGTGCCAGGTCTAGTAGGACGTTTCAGTCAGGGATTATTAACCTAGGTCCCAAGGGGGAGACCCCCAAAGTGGGGAGTCCATGAACTTCTTTAGGATTTATTTTCAATCACCTCTAATTGAAATTTAGGGGGCGCCTCACCTGGGTGGCTCAGTCAATTAAGCGTCCGACTTGGGCTCAGGTCATGATCTCACAGTTCGTGGGTTCTAGCCCCGTGCTGACAGCTCAGAGCCTGGAACCTGCTTGGAGTCTGTCTCCCTCTATCTCTGCCCCTACCCTGCTCACGCTGTGTCTCTGTCTCAAAAATAAATAAACATTAAAAAAAACTGAAATTTAGCATTTCCTTCCATTTAGAATGTGGACAACAAACCACAGTAGTGGTAAGCGATACCTTGGACTTTGTCTCCAGGAGAAACCATGGACATTTTCACATCTATGCTGTTGTTGCAAATGTCTCAAAATACTACACTTATCAGGATTTCAGAGTTATGATTATTAAGTTCCTGCTGGATCTCATTACAGTGCATTAAAAAATAATCACATATGTTACTCTATCACCACTTTAGTAACTGTAATTCATAAGTATCTTATGCATTTAAAAGCATTATGAGGGGAGTCTGGGTGGCTCAGGTCATGATCTTGCAGTTCCGTGAGTTCAAGGCCCACGTTAGGCTCTCCACTGTCAGTGTGGAGCCTGCTTTGGATCATCTTTCCCTCTCTCTCACCGCCTTTCTCCTGTGTGTGCTCTCTCTCTCTCTCTCTCTTTAAAAAATAACTTTAAAGAAAGAAAGAAAGAAAGAAAGAAAGAAAGAAAGAAAGAAAGAAAGAAAGCATTATGAGAAAGTACCTGTAGGTTCCTCATACTTGCCAAAGGGGTTTATGGTGCACACATACACTCATGCCAATGCACACACACACATACACCCATATTTCCACACAGGTTGAAGGATGCGGCAAATGGTCAGGAATTGTGTTCTCCTCTTGTTCCTGTTTACGACCATATTGTACTGCAGATATTTATATGTCTTTCCTTCCTTGCCAGCATGTGAGTTCTAATAAAGCAGGAGTGGTAGCTTCTATTCCTTTGAGCCTTCAGTGCCTAGAACGGGGCTTGGCATGCGCTGAACAATCATTTATAGAGTATCTACTGTGCATAAGGCTCAGGTCCCATCGGGGGTGGCTGAATAGTGGTAAGACTCAAAGGAGAGCAATAAATTCATTCACAAACTTGTTTGAGCATTCATTCATTCGTCCGCTTAGAGGATTATCTAATGGCTACTCAACGCCAGCCACTGAGGTAGGCTCTGGGGAATATAGGAAAAATGAGATCCGAGTCCTTGTTCTCACAGGGCACCCATTCTAGCTAACGAAAACAAGATTTCTGAAGACAGACAGACAAATAGGAATGAGGTCACTCGTTCTGGAGAGTCAGAGTCGTAGGGAAAATCTAGTTCTCACGTCTATGTTTATTAGATCTTTTTAGCCAAAAGGTTACTGGGAGAAACTAACCACAGGGTAGAAAATGTAGACTAAGATGCCCTTCATAAGAGGAAAAGTCTGTGGGGTCCACAGGAGGACAATTTACCTTGTTGTGTGGTTGCTGGTCTTGCCTAGCAAACCTTGTGGAGAAGTTAGTCTTCCATTGCCCCCGGTGTTTCAGGGGCCGGCCTGTCCAAAGACAGCAAGATGGATGCGTGCCCTCTCTGCAGTTCTGCTCTGCTTCAAAGATTCTATGATGCTATCAATTAGTCAGAATGTGCAAGGTTGCCTAGATACCTTGGGGCTTCTCTTTCTTGTAGGAGGCCAGAGCCGGGTGACCTCCTCAAACCTGCCAAATGTGTGGTGAGAGACCAGGTGTGGGAGAATGTGGTCGTACAACTGCCTGGATATCTGGGCCAGATCATCCGTCCAGGCAGGAGGGCAAAGGGAGAGACACCCGGCAGAACTAGGAGAGAAAGGGATGGGGGCTGGGTGTGTCTTAACACCGAAAAGGAGAGCTGGGAAAAGATAACAAGGACAGCAAGGTTTGGGGTTAAGACAAAATCTGATAAAGTGAAACATTTCCCTGAAGAAGCATAACATCCAAATACAAAGAAATAAATGCAATGAATCCATACAACATCTCTTCCGAGAAGTATAACCTTAAAATGCAAAAAATAAGTTCACTTTGGTAAATCTAGGTCCCACCCACAGCAGTATCTCTATCTGTGTTCCCTGAATGCGTGAAAAAATATTTCCTAGGGAACCTCAACTCCATCTGTCCCCAGCTCCAGCTGACCTCTCTCTTACCCTCCTTCGGCCTCCTCCATTCTGTCTGAACATCCTGCTTCAGCAAATGGTGACAGTTATCACTAGGAATTAAGTACATACATCAAAATCAACCTGGATGATCTGGAATATTATTCTTTTCAGTCTGTAGCCCATGATAAAGGCCTGTACTTTTTCCACGGAAAATTTCTTGGAACACGTCATTTTTCAATCACGCCTCCATCTAGTAAGTATTTAGTAAGAACAGCATAGTCCTGGCTTCCCTGGAGCACTACAAAAACGTATCTAACCAAGAGCTTGCAATCTACTAGTCCAGATGAGAAATGCCTACAGGTAACTCTGTGACAAGGTAGAATGTCACAGGTGGCTCAGATTAATGGGGAGAGGGGAGGTAGAGAGAGAGAGAAAAAAGAGAGGACATCCACTGGGGCAATGGTCAGGGACAGGCCATCTCCACTTAGTTCTGGAGGGTAGAATGCAGACTAGCGGGGCCTGTGGGAGGGGCAAGTTCCAGCGAGGTAGAAGTCAGAGTGAAGTCAAAAGGCCCTTCAGTCAGCTTTAGCTGTTCAAAAGCAAGAGCTTTAGGATCATGTGATGAATGCCCAGTCACTGGAAGTATTCATTCAAATGAGATTTGGATAATTTACTAAAGATATTGTGGAAGATATTCCATATATTCCCCCCTGTTGGTAAAAAGTTTGGGCTAGAGAGATGCTCTCAGCAACTTCTGTCTCTACGTGTGCCTTATTCCACCAGCAGAGCATGAAGTCAGCAAGCGAGTCTCCCAAATGAAACATTAATACCTCATGCAAAGAATCTTGGGAAATCAAACATCTTTTTATTCATTTACTGTATTTCATACACCTAGCAGTCCTTTAAACAACTACCAACAGCAGCAACACGAACCACATGTAAAATGAAAACGGGTGCCCCAAATGGCACCCTCCCCAACACACACGCATATGGAGAAGCACAATCCTACAGGCTGCTGACATTACTCACTTTAAGCATGAAAAGATTCCTACAGGGCTGCCTGGAAATCAACCTTCTTCATCCTGGAGCTGATACTCCGAAGTCTTTGTTCTCTTTCCATGTTTGAAGTCAACATGACAAGTTAAGGACAAGTTAGATTAGATTTCCAGTTTATTACATGAGACCCGATCCTTCTCAAGTGTGCATCCACAAGTGAGGACCCAATCTACTATAAGCAATGGCTCAAGCATTCCAGTGGGTGACTCGGCCAGCCAGGCCTCACGGGCAGATTGCATGTATGTTTCAAGTCCAACAGCCACAGGACCCAAAGCCATAGAGAACTAGCAGCTTGGGCCTCAACTGAAAAATTTGCTAAAAGGGGATCTCTCGGGCCCAGCTGCTTTGATTTTACAAGTTGGCCCATCTTTGGCCCAAATATGCCAATGATAGGTATCATTTAATGCCCTTGGAAAAAACACTGAGTAACAAAATGCTAAGAGTACCCGAGAACCCGGGATTCTCTTCCGGTCATCCAGAATGTGAAGTCAGCTAGAAGCTTGCCTGTTGGTCCCTGACCGACTCATCTGCCAGAGGAAAGGCTGGTCAGTATCCAAGGCATGTGGGGCCCAACCCTGAGGGAGTGCCTATTTCTCCTTCTGTGCCTGCTGTAACCTCTTGGCCACAGCAGTGATCAGAGCAGCTCCCTTTCCACTCCCATCTTCTGACAGCATGAGTGTCACATCACATCGAGGAGCTAGTTCTTTCACGGTTTCCTGCAATATCCGAGAAAAGCTACAAAAAAGAGGGAGAGAGAAACATCATCAGCACTCACATAAGGGATCAACATATTCGTGAATGATTCCAATCTAGTTTGTTCCTTCCAGCTTGCTTCTCAAGGCTCTAGAACAGCTTCATACACCTCTTCCTAAATAGCTGTTTTAATCTTACCTTTTGTTGAGTAACTACTAATGCCAGAGGCTATTCTAGGTGTTTTACATACAGAATATACATACAAAGTGTAATAACAGTTTAAAAGCATTTATTAGTATTTTCACAGCATAAAAAAAATTGATGCTCAGAAGTTAAGAAATTTTTCTAAGCTTGTACAACTAGTAAGTTATATTAGGACTTGAACCAGGCCTATCATGTTCTCAGCCTCACTTTTTTTTTTTTTTTTTTTTTTTGGTTCAAAAATCCCTAAATGTTTATTTTGAAAAATTTCAAACTTACTATAGAGCTGAAAGAATAGTTTGCTGAACGCCTGAACACCCTCTGCCTACACTCAACAAAGTTATAATTTTATCCTACTTGCTTTATCCATTCACCTATCCATCCTTCCCTCCCTCCATTGATTTTCCCCCAAAGCACATAGTTGGCCTCTCTCAACTATCCTTTGATATATTAAATCCATTTGAGGGGACATCTTGTAAGTTGAATTACCAGGGCAGTCTGTGAGGTCAAAGTATGTTTAACAGAGGCCTGGGCATCTAGGCCCCATGTCCTGTGACCCTGTGTTACCATGAATGGTACAAGTGGTGTTCATCTCTGAGGGCCAGCATGCAAGAGCAGGTTCTGAACCCGACTCCATCACACAGCCAGTGGGTGACTCTGGCCAACCGCTGATGCTCCCTGGGGCCCTACTGGTTATGTAGTAGGAGAAAGTTTGAGGTCTTCTTGAAGGCACAGCAGGGTGGTTAGCCCCCAACTTTCCAGAAGAAAGGAGAAATGGCTTAGTGGTCACAAGTCAATCAAGTCTTTCTTCCTTCCTTTCTTCTTTCTTTCTTTCTTTCTTTCTTTCTTTCTTTCTCTTTCTTCCTTTCTCTTTCTTTCTTTTTCTTTCTTTCTTTCGTTTCTTTAAGCATACAATTCAGTGTTTCTTAGCGTATTCACAAAGTTATGCAACCAGCACCACTATCTAATTCCAGAATATTTTCATCATCCTAAAAAGAAACTCCATGCCCATTAATAGTCACTCCCCATTCACACCAACCCCCAGGTGCCCCCCTACTTTCTATCTCTATAGATTTGCTTATTCTGGACATTTCATATAATGGAATCGTATAGTAAGTGGCCTTTTGTGTCTGGCTTCTTCTTTCAATTAACACAATATTTTTCAAGGTTGATCAGAGTTATAGCATGTGTCAGTACTTCACTCCTTTTTATGAGTACTAGTCCATTGTACAGATACACTACATCTTGTTTACCCACTCATTGCTTGGTGGACATTTGGACTGTCTCCCCCTTTGGTTATCATGAATAGTTCTGCTATGAACATCATCAACAAGTTTTTGTGTGAACATGTTTTCCGTTCTCTTGGATACACCTCGGAATGGAATTGCTGGGTCATATGGTAACTCTATGTCTATCTTTTTCAGGAACTCCCAAACTGTTTCCCACCAGCAATGTATGAGGTCTCCAATTTTGCCATATCCTCATCAACACTTGTTAGTGTCACTCTTTTTTTGTTATAGCCATCCTAATGAGTGTGAAATGGTACCTCATGGTTTTGGTTTGCATTTCTCCAGTGACTAATGATACTGAGCATCTTTCCACATGCTTATTTGCCACTTCCACATCTTTGGAGAGATGCCTATTTAGATCCTTTGCCCATTTGTTGACGGGTTATTTGTCTTTTTAATTGTTGAGTTGTAATTGTTCTTTCTATTTGCTAGGCAGAAATCCTACATCAGATATATGATTTGCTAATATTTTCCATCATTCTCTAGGTTGCCTTTCACTCTGTCGTATTCTTTGATGCACAGAAATTTTTAATTTTTATAAAGTCCAGTTTACCTATTTTTTCTTCTGTTACTTATGCTTTTGATGTCATATTTAAGAAATCATTGCTTAATCCAAGGTCGCGAAGATTTATACCTATGTTTTCTCTTAAGAGCTTAATAGTTTTATCTCTTAAATTCAGGTCTTTGATCCATTTTAAGTTGATTTTTGTACATGGGATGAGGTACGAATCCAACCTCATTTTTTTTGCAGGTGGATATCCAGTTGTTCCACCATTTTCTGGAAAAAATATTCTTTTCCCATTAAAAGGTCTTCACCTTCTTGTTTAAAATCCCTTGACCATAAATGTAGGGGTTTGTTTCTGAGCTCTCAATTCTAGTCCGATGATCTCTATGTTTATCCTTACGTCAGTACCACACTGTTTTGAGACTGCAGTTTTATTGTAAATTTCAAATAGAAAATTGTGAGTTCTCCAACTTTGTTCTTTTTTAAGACTATTCTAACTAGTCTAAGTTCCTTGCATTTCCATATGAATTTGAGGATCAACTTGTTGATTTCTGCAAAGAAGTCTCCTGGGATTTTGATCATGATTGTGTCGAATCTGAAGATCAATTCGTGAAGCAATGCTACCTTAACAATATTAAGTCCATTAACATAGGCTGTCATTCTATTTAGGTCTTCTTTGTTTTATCTCAACAAAGTTTTCTACTTCTCAATGTACAAATCTTACATTCCT